GGTGCTGGGGGATTGAACCGCGGTCCCTGATGCCTTGCCAAGCTTGTTCTAAGTAGGTGCTTTAGACCACTGAGCCATCTCTCCAGCCCTCTCCTCTACTTCTTGACTACCATGGAGTGAGCAACTTTTTCCTGCCATGTGCCTCTGCCATGCCATGTCATGTCTGCCTTGGAGATAGCCAACAGCCAACTATCATTTGAATCAACTGGAAACTGAGCAACTCCATGAAGCAAGTGTCTCTATAGGTAAGGGAGTGGGGCCAGAAAAGGTAGGTGCTTGCCCAAGGCCAGTCATGATGGAGCCAGGACTTATACTCTCAGACGGTCTGGGTTCAGAGCCACAGTGTTTTCTACTCCCCACAGAAGCACTTTTTGTCCTTTAGGATCTCAGGTCTGTCTTACTCCCCAGTTCCTCGCTTTTACCTCCGCTTCCTTGCACCAGACCCTGCCACCAGTGCTCCCTGGATGGAGACTAAAACTTGGAGCCAAAATAAACATTTCATCCTTTAAGTTGATGTCTTAGCGATGAGAGACTAAGGAGATTTTCTGCACTCATCTTCACTGTCTATTTTCTCATCTCAGTTGCTTGCTGGCCTGGCAGGCGGGACTTGTATTTCCCTTTGTCTCCTTTCATTCTATGAAGTTACCATCTTGTAACATTACTGGGAAAGTGATTCATTAATCTACTGGGTAGATTGGAAAATGGTGTGTTTTGGGTTTTGGCTGATATTACACATTGCTTCCTGGCATAGTTAGGAGTGGGACCTAAGAGTTCATCTATAGTGTTAGCCTTTTCCCCTTGAATAAAAATATCTCATCAGATCTCTTAATATATAGCTCATATATTTCTGGATTTGAAACCCCCCAAGAAAAAACAAACCTCATATGATTATCTAGATATAAATACATAATTACTTATGTCTCTTAGATAGCAGGCCTAGAAAAGAGAGATAACATATTTAAGACTATAACACAAGCAAGTAAAACGACTGGGCAACTAAAAACAGAGGAAAAACATGTAGCCATATTTGGAATTTATTTTATTTTATTTTTATATTAATTTTATTGAGAAAGAAATAGCAATGAGACAGTTTTAAAGCAGGTTAGTAGGACAGTTACAATAGTTAGTACATTGCATATTGTTGTCTTCATAGTAGTTATTCATAGTACAAGATGTAGATATGATATCTTGTCTAACCACTATTAGTACAAATCTTTCTTCTCATTGAACTAAGAGAAAGTAGCTATATATCTATTTTGTATATACAGATATATATATATTTTTTCACTACAAAATGGTCCTCCATTTATATCTCCTTTTTTTGTTTAGTTTTGTCAGAGATGGGTATTCCATTGCCATTCAAATATTGTAGGTGCATGAATTTAATGATACTTGTGAACTAAGCAACTACACTGAGGACAGCAATGTGTAATACATTTGGAAGTTAGTCTTCCCTCTGATACTTAGCTCTCTGACATATAATATACTCTTGCTCTCTGACATATAATATAAAACATAAATTATTCATATTCAAACCAAATTGATAATGTCTTTCCTGTCATTGTGCTTGGCTTGTACACAAGGAATAGTTTCTCTCTTTGTAAAAACTCCATTTACTCCATCTGGCAAAGGCTCTCTTATTGGGTTGCCTGGCCACTTTTTTGTTGGCTTGTGTTCTCTGCAGACATCTGATGTCCACTGATGTGTGGCGTCTCCATGCCATACTCCCTGAAAGTCCCCAGCCTTCTGTTTCCATCATGGCCACCACACCAGCCAGTGAGCACTGCTCATCTCTCCCACCTGCTCTCTCCACACGCAGCTGAGGCTACTTCCTAATTCTCATCCCGAACCAGCGCTGCAATTGCTAAAATATTAATGGCTCCCTTTGTGAAAGATAACACCAGGAAGCTTCTTATTGTAAATTGAAATTGCCAGAAAGACAGAAACAATGAAATGGAAGAAACAAAGTAAAACTGTAAGAGGAATATGTGTTTCAGCATGAAGACAAAGAAGGACATCGTTGGCTGCATCTTGGCACCACGGTGCTGAGCTCTGGCAGTGAGAAATGTCACCATTGACCTACGCTCACCATTCTGACCATCTAAGACTATAGCAAAGTGCATCCCTGGGTTTCTGTTCAGCTGGCTTTTTTCTTGGGCTTTCTCAGACAGGGTGAGAAAAGAGGAACACAGACCAGAAGAGAGAAGGCAAATAGTGTGAATAAAGGAAATAGGGACTCACTGTGGCTACAATTGCATGACATATTGGAGTATGGAGAGCTCAAGGATACCAAGGAAGAAATCTGGCTGGACTCAAAGGCAGAGAGACATGCTCCCTTTCTTTATTCAACCTTGTGTAAAAAAAGGATACAGAATTTTGTTTTAGTACTGGACCTTCCCCCGGCCATACCCTACCATTGTCATTCCTGATGTTTTGGCACAAATCACAGTGCTAAGTTGTATGTTTAGAACAGTAGAATGAAAAAAAAAAAAACTCCTGAAATTTATGAAATAGTGAATGTTCATGTTTTTTTTTTTTTATTTTTTAATGAAGGGATAATACAAATAGCTGGGGACAGAAGCATCACAGGAGGAACAAAGCTAGGACCACCTCTGCAGAAGACATTGCTAGGCTAACACAAACTGCAGTGAATCCTCAGGGCAGCCTTTCCCACCTGGACCAGTCCAGGCGGATTGCCAGCAGCACCCCATGGCTACCAGGCACCTGCCAGCCTACTTAGGAGTTGTGGGCGGCCTCTAACCTCTAGCTGCCGATGACTCAACCCTCACTTTTCATTTTTGAAAGCCACCTGGCCACTCTCATCTCCACAGGGTTTCAATCTGAGCCCCATTCCCTGACATTTCTCCTGCCATGACTTTTACCTTCCTGGAAACTAATTCACACAGGTGGCACTGGCCCTGCAGCCATTTGCATCTTTGGGTTTGGTAACACTCATCTTTGAACTGAGGAAATTCTTCCAACCCTAGTCTTTTAGCTCTGCCCTCAAAGCTTTCTACCTCCCTCTTTCACCTGCCAGCTCCTTCCCTTCTGGAGCACAGAGCTTTGCACTTGGATGTGGCAACACACATGTCTCCGTGGAAGGGGAAGGGGATGTGTGTCCTCTTTAGGCTTAAGGCTGCTCTTAGTGAGGACCCTGGGTGTCATTTAGCAGACTTAGATGCAAGGAGTCTTCATTGTACCCCTCCTTATACTGTGCCTCTCCTTCGATCTAAGTTCATCAAGCTGAACTTGAAGCTAATTTTACAGTAACAGTAGTCACAAGGCTGTGGCATGTGCTCCAGGAGGTGGGCTGGAAGCTTGCTTACTGTATGTACATGTGGTTGGCAAGGAAGCTATCCCCAGCCATGTAAGACAGTTGCCATGGAATGTGTTAAAAGTGAAAAAGGACAATTTAATTGCAAATGTGACCCTCTGCAAGAAGGCCCAGGAAGCTGGCACTGCAGTTCCCAGCTCAGAGAGTTTAAAAAAGGAAAGCAGTAGAGACAGCTACAGGAGTTCCAACTGATGTCAACATATGCGACACCCCCAGGACTCTTGGCCCTTTTTCCTTCACCCAGCTTTAGTAGATGGCCAATCTAAACACTTGCAAATTCACAGTCGTAATCAGTCATGCGACACATTATGAACTTCCACTGGCGATCCCTGTTGGGAGAGTCAAGAAATTAATGTCAGTGAGAATAGTCACCTGCTGTAGGATAAACCACAGCTGGGGGACAAGAAAGGCAGGACATGTGCAGCCGCTCAGAAATGAAGGGATACCGAACTTCAATTTTGCTCTCAGAAGCCTGCTCTGTGAATCAGTTTCCAGTGAACCAACAAGTCTTTGAGGTCAGGATGCCCTTTGAAGGGTCCCAGCGAGGTTACTGGCCACGGAGAGGCTCCCGGGGGCTGCTGGTGATTGCTCCCTGTGTTGTTCCCCACAGAACCTCATGGAGCTCTAGGCTAACAGCTTGGAACCAAAGCATTTACTTAACATTAAATCCATTCCACTGTGAAGTATCTTAAAAGGTCACCAGTCTACCCTCTCAATGATTCTTTCTTTGACCAAGTACTCACCTGGGCTGGGCTCCAGGCCAGAGAGAATAGGTTTCTTCTTTCACCATCACAGAGAAAAGAAGGTAAAGAGAAGGCACTCCACAACTTTTAAAATGAGAAAGTGAATGCCAGCCATTCTGCCTATCAGAAATGGAGTTGTTTGTTTGCTGAAGTGGGGGACATGGGTCTTAGAGAACAGAGGATTGACCAGCTTTGCAAAAACACAGTCTGAGTAAGTTCCTTACTAGAGACAAAGCCATGTTTGTCACTCAGCCACTGAATAAAATCTATTAGGCCTGGTACTCCTGTGGCTTAGTAGCATTGAACAATAAGAATCACAATTGTAACTCCTATGCAATGTGCACTTCGACATCTCCAGCATGGTGCTAAATGCTCAACATGTTTTCTCAACAATTTTCACAGTGATCCATGAGGAAGCAGGTTCAGAGAAATAAGCGACCTGCTCTAATGGGACACAAGTAATTGGTGATGATGGCAGAATTCAAGTCACTTAGACTCAGATCTGGGTCTTTGACTTTGGAGACTGCTGTGTCTCCCTAACTAGGTGCCCAGAACACCACAGGATGTGGCTTGCATGCCCTTTACACAGTACTAATAAAGGGTAAAAATAAAGAATTTTCTGTATTTAATCATACAAATCTTTGCAAAGCACAGTGGGGTCCTTTTGCTTAAACTCAGAATTACCTTTTCCCCCTTTCAATCTCCTGGGGCTCTTTCCAATTCAGTTTCACCTCAACATCAGACCTGAAAAGGACTCAGCCCAGATTCTGGGTGGCCTCAGGGATGATCACTGAAGTTCTAGGGGAGGGGTAGTGCCCTCTGCCTCCACAGCCTAAGGAAGTTTCATTGTTCCCACGCTGCTCCAGAATTGTTTGTTTTAGAACAATTGGTTACAGAGATCCTAGCACAGGTTTTCCAGGGACTGGGTGACCGGTTATTTATTGGCATTTTCTCCTGCAAATGTCAACAGAGGATGTAGTTTGTTTTAGATATTCAGCAAACTGCTGGCTTGTATGTTTACCAAATGAATTTCATTATTGCAGCCAAGTCTTAGGTATCTTTATACTAAAAGGCAAAGATAAACAAGGTTTTATGGCCAGGTATTCATACTGTTTTTTAAAGAGAGAGAGAGCTAAATTTATATTGTTTATAAATGTTCTACCTTAAGGTTTGTGTAAGAACAACCAAAGCAGACAGAGACAGTAGGTCTTGTCTGTTGCTTTTCTCTCATCTCTTCCCCTTTTGTCTCCTTTCCTGCAAACTAAAGTGGCCTCAGATAGAGGCCTAGGATTAGAAAGTGTCCTGGTTGGCAATGGACCCTTCTCTAACCATTTTTGTCTTTCTCTTTCCATGTCTAGTGACAAAAAGTACTCGCTGAACCTCGTGAGGGGAAGAAATTAGAACAGACACGGGCACCAAGCTCAGTACTCCTCTCGGGGCAAGCTGGAATCCACCTTCACTGCATCAGGTTGAGCTGAGTTCCCAAGGACAACTCATTGCTCATTGTTTCCTGATGAACAGCCAAACCCTTAGTTCATCCGGAATGAGAAACTAAAATAGAAAAAAATCCCAGACCAACATTCCCACAAGTCTAGTCCTTGGTGGAGTCAGTCTTCACTTCCTCGAACCCCCAGCCCAGGGGGAACTCAGAATTACCTTTTCCCCCTTTCAATCTCCTGGGACTCTTTCCAATTCAGTTTCACCTCAGCACCAGGCTTGCAAAGCCCTCAGCCCAGATTGTTCTCACCTTTCCACTGCAGAGAAAGTGGTCGTGGCTCCTCGGATGTAGTAATCATAGCTGTAGGAAACCATGTCTATTTCCTCACCGTAATGGCCTGGATACTCTGTTGTCAGCCTATATGGGGGTGAGCAAAGGATTAGATGGAAGAAGATTTTTAAAAAATATTATCAGTGGGAGCAAACAAAAGGTAAATTATGAAGAAGCTTAAGGTTTATGAAGAAGAGGTGAAGTCTGGATACCTTGGGAGATCCAAACGGAATAGCTGGTCGCCACAAAACTATTGCAAGCTGCTGAAAGACAGCTCCTCTGCTACTCCTCACCTTCCTTTTAAACTGTACATGGACAAAGACACAAAGGAGCCCACTTCCTTGCTTTGAAGTAGCACTGAACAATGTCAATGTTAGTTCCATTCTGTTCAAGGCAGGTAGGAAGAGAGTGTTTCCAAACTGTATTATGACTCATCATTGGATCACAAAATCAATTGAATTGGTTAACTTTAAGAAAGAAGACATAAAATAGAACAAAATATCAGAGAACACACTGCATGCAGTAAAGAGAGGCCTATCTGAGTGTAAGTTTTGTTTCAAATGTATGAGTGTATATGATAAGTACATCAGGTGATAGTTAATATTTAGGGTTTTTTTTTTTTTCTGTATTTAGGACAGGGTCTACAGGGTCTATAGGGTTTCATTACATAGATCAGACTCATAGTGATTCTCCTGTTTTCAGCCTCCCAAGCACTGGGATTACAGGAGTGCACCACCACTCCCAGTCTCAATTGCCATCTCAGCCCTCCCCATCAGCGGGGCCAACATGGCACACCAAGGACTGAAGCCTGGCCACTGAGCTCTGCCTAAGAAAGTGCTTTTGTCTGCTGAGCTCTCAGGCCGGCCCTAATATTTAATTTTTAACATGAGTCATAACCAAAGAAGCATGCAAATGTATTTAGCTAAAATGTAATCTCCACAACGGTGGAGATTTTTCCTTATCCATAGTCATTTCTTCTGGCAGTTAACAGTTCCTAGCACATAGTAAATATTTGCTGTATAAGCTAGTGGCTTTGAGAGAGGCGGTCTGCTTCCTGATCTGTAGAAGAATGAAAGCCGCCTTATGAGTTTGTCGTTGTGACTAACAAAAAATACGTGTGATACAATGGTGTATGTCGGGTGTTACATTTCAAAAACCTATTTTCCCTCTTCCTCTCCTCTTTTTCCTTCTTTCTCTCCCAAAATTGAATTGATCTTGGGACTCCCTTTGGGAAGGCACATTGTGAGGTATCAAATATACAGTCATATGTAGATTATAAATATTATTGTAAAAAACATTACTAGTAATTCTCTTAAAATAGCCCCCTTTGCTTCAACACACTTGTCCCATTATTCTCAACACTTTCTGAAGCAGTTCTGGAGTCCTTTTGCTTGAGTGTCCTTATCTGATTTGATAAAAAATATGGTGAATGCTGGGCCAAGTGCCATCCGACAGAAAGGGAGGCTAATAAAAAATTACCGTGTGTCCTCGTTCACCTTATTCCCTAGACCTAGCACTGTGCAACTTGTTCTTTGCCAAACTCAAAGTGATCACAAAAGTTAAATATCTTAATGGACTCAGGAAATCATGTAGCCATGCAATGCAACAAAAGATACAAAGAAGAGGTCCAGAACTGCTTCAGAAAGTGACAAGAACAATGGGATAAGTACATTTGAAACAATGGGGAATACTTTGATTGGCATTAGTGGCAATATGTCTTTTACTAGAACAAATCTACTAGATTTAAACATTCACTGTGTGTTCCATCATATCTTGTATGTTCCATAGTAGAATAAATCTATAGTTCTCGTGAGGGCTTTGCTTCTGGGGATCTTTTGGATCAAAATGGTTCCTTGTGAAACAGACCCTTTCAAAGTTTGTCAGGATTCCTAGGTCTGCTCAGGAAGAACTAGTTACTCAATATCAGTAATTTAATTTGATCTATGTTTACCAGATTATTGTATATCAATGATAGAAAGGTCTTCTCCTATCCACACTGATGATCTGTTTCTCAAGGATAGGAAGACTGTCATGAGATTCTGAAAAGACTGATTTATAAGCTCTCAGGATTCATAGGAGGATGTCACTGCAAGGTCAATGTTTAGCCCAGACATTCAAAGTCAATGAGAACCCGAAGCCTCACTCCTTTGGCTCATAGTCATTCTTCTTCCCACAGTGTTCAATCATCCTTATTCTCTGATCTGTCTTTTCTTAAGATGCAATTGTGCTTTATTGCTTGCCAAGCCCCACCTATGTGTAATTGCTTGTTATATCTCTGAAAGGAAATGAGATTCTGCTACTTCTGAAATCTATTTTGCATTTCTAAAGAGATTAGAAATAGAACTCCTTACTTCTGAAGAAAAAGTCAGTTGGTTAACTGGCTCATGAGTGGATCTAATTTGGCTTCATTAGTTTGTTATCCATGAGCGTTCTGTCAAGGACTGTACTAAGTTTATCCAAAGAAAGAGGGGATTGTTGGAGGGGATGCTTTTATTTCAGGAAACATAAAATATTTTCCAGAACTGTTTATATATAATGTATGTAAGTTAATATAAAAATATTGTATTTCTGTGAAGGTAGTACCTCTGTTTGGTAACAGTGCATTAGGCTAAGCCCAAGCGCCAAAACAAGTTGGAAATAATCATGCTAGGTTTTTATTCTTTGAGTGTTTACACCCTGATCTGTCCTCAGATTACTTGGATAGCTAAATATGTTTGGAATAAAATAAGAACAGAAGAATTGTGTTTTTTAAAATAAATAAAAAGAAGTTTTAAGCTCCAGCAAAGGGAAAATAGCCAGTGCTTTCTTTGACATGAATTCTTTATAACTTCATTTTTGGTAGTGAACAGATAGGGGTCCTCCTGACTAGTTGGACAGCTTTACTGGGAAGCCTCTTTGAGGGAGAATATGTAGAATGTACTGGAGAAGGTGGGTTGATTCTTACCAGGGCTTTATACCTTGGTCCCAGTCAGGCTCACTGACTTTTGGTTGTCATTGTTTTGCTTTTTTCATAAAACCATGAGATGGAGTTTACACTATCACAAGAAACCTAAGGTAAGGAGGACTAAAAGAAGGATAGACATTTATAAAGATCACTGCTACTTTGGAAAGTTAAAGATAGGGAGAAATGGCCCCAACCACTGGTAAACAGTGGTTGGGGTTTAGCAAATGCCATCTACAGCAAGAACTCTTGTTTTACTTTGGCCCAAGATTCTATTCTATATTTTTGAAAGAATATGTTTCCTTTTAGCTGTTGGTAATATCACACACATGCACGCGCGCGCACACACACACACACACACTTTTAACTTAAAAAGTCCTAATCATATCTCCTGTGAGGAAAAATTGAACCCTGCCAGCTAGACACTGAGACAGGGCATAGGAATTTATCAGGAAATTAAAGAGCCTACGAGCAAACAGATTGGCCATGGTTCCATTGGCTCTGGCATTGGGGAGAAGTTCAGTGTGGGTCCAGCTTTCTTGTGAAATACTAGGTCACTTTAGGCAGCTTTTTGGCAAAGCTACTTCATGCTAAGCTTTGTCACACATTTCTGGACCCATTAAAACAACCAAAGAAGTCTTTGGCTTGGCAAGATGAGGGGAAGGATAGGTCAGGAAGGTGCCTTCATTCAACTTATTAAAATAAGTTTATGTTTACAGCACTTCTATAGGGAGCCATTCTTATCCTTCCTTTCTTCCTTCCTTTCTTCCTTCCTTTCTTTCTTTCTTTCTTTCTTTCTTTCTTTCTTTCTTTCTTTCTTTCTTTCTTTCTTTCTTTCGTATGGGATCTCGCTGAACAGCTTGGATTCTTATCCCCTTTTAAAAACCTCTCTCTCTCTCTCTCTCTCTCTCTCTCTCTCTCTCTCTCTCTCTGTGTGTGTGTGTGTGTTTGTGTTCTTGTCCCACTTACTTTTGGATGAAAGTTTCTTTGAGTACCATTTCTCACTCCCCAGTGCTTTTCCTCTTGTTTCCAGGTAAAACAAGAAATAAGGTTTTTCTAGAGCTACAGGGAAGAGACAATGTGATTACACAGGATCATATGTACAGCTTCTTGGGTCAAATGATGATGAAAGAGATAGAGAGAAAGACTATTTTACTTATGAACTGAAAAAAGGCCGACCTAACTGAAGAGTTGCTCTAAAATTGTATAGGACTCTCTCCTCTAAGATTCCTTAAGTACTAATATTATCAACAAATCCAACTCTACTCAGTGAATATGTGCTGACCAATACAACATCACAGAATGAGTTGTTGTCAACCGATGTCAAGGCTTGTTATCCATGAGCATTCCGTCAAGGACTGTTCTAAGCTTATCCAAAGAAAGAGGGAATTGTTGGAGGGGATACATTTATTTCAGGAAACAAAATATTTTTCAAAACTGTTTATATATAATGTATGAAAGTTAATATAAAAATATTTTATTTCCGTGAAGGCAGGATCTGTGTTTGGTAGCAGTGCTTTAGGCTAAACCCAAGTGCCAAAACAAGTTGGAAATAATCATGCTAAGTATAAAAAGTATAAAAATGAGGTATATAAAGTAAAGCCATATCAATATGCTGAGCTGTGAAAGGCTCAAGTCAACAACTTCTGCGGAATAGGACCTGTCATAGACCTGAGGTCAGATACATGCTACCACATGCATTTTGAAAAGAAATAGAGAACTACAATGTGTTTTCATAAAGTGGCTAATTTTACTTAAGAGATAGTATGGTAATAATTGGTATGTCCTGACAAGAAGTACGAATTTAGAAGACCAGAATGACAGGCATTCCAAGCATGATCCTTCTATTACACATTGCTATCTTCAGTGCAGTTGCTTGGTTCACAGGTATCAGCATATATAGTTAGTCAGATTGAGAATCCTATTAATTAACTGCTAGTTTTAAAAACCTGTTGATGTTTCTCAAGATCATTGCCTTACCCATTTTGTGCATATAAATGTATGGCTTTGTCTCTGTCCTGTTTCCCAGCTTTTCTCCTTACCCTCTCCTCATTGTCCAATACTCAAGTTCCCACTTTCCTTTTAATTGTGTTATACCTATTTGTATTTCTTTTGAGTTCTTAAACTAGGGAGACTATACGATATT